ACACACACACACACACACACACACACACACACACTCACACGCTCAAACACACTCTCGCACAATCAAATCCACCACTTTTCCAAAATCCCGTCAACACCTCTGTCTTACCAAAAAACAAAACAAAAAAAAACCCAACCCATCCCAGATACCGCCCTTTATTTATTCTTCTCAGCCTTTTTCGTTCTCCCCACAAAGTTAAAACTGTCGCCCTCTCGTCCGGCCCAAGCCACCCACCAAGTCTTCGGAGTCCAGAGGTGGGCAAAATCCGGATAAACTATCTGAATAACCGGATCATTAGCAATGAAACATTGTCTGAATTCAGATTCTTAACTCTCTTTCTTGACCTGCTGGCCGAAGTGGTTGTACTCATTTGTGTAGAAGTGATGCTAACCCGTTTGTTGAAGTGGTTCTAAACCATTTACAGAAGCGGTTCTATTATAATATTATTTGCCGAAGAGGTGCACAAACATATTATCCGGATTTTGCTAAAGCGACTCATTGCCCAGCTCAAGTCTTCACGGGTCTCCCCTCCCCCTCCTCCGGAAACTCACGCCGGCGGTGTCTCGACGCGCCGCTCGCTCCTGAGCGCGCGCGCACCGCGGCGGAGGTGACGTCAACCACACTTGTCTCACCGTATCATCAATGTCTTTTCCTTCTTTGTATAGCCCTAATGCCCTTATAAGTATATCTCACGGGTGTCTCCCAGTGCGATTTTGCTAAGGTCTGTGAAGTTTTCTCATTCTCAAAACTGTGGTGACTTAGAGTCAAATTGGTGTCTTATCTGGAAAAGTGGTTTCATTTGTGGTGATTTCAGAAAATAAAATGCATGTAAATATTGTAGCTATGGGTTTATTTGATATTATGCCTAATTAGCTCTGAAAATTGTGAATTCTGTGGTGGTTATTTTTCTGGGGGTTTGTAGATTTCTATTATTTTTATTGTCTTTCAAGAATAAATACGGTAAGAACTTGATTTATTGTCTTGTGAACTTGTTTATATATTTTTTGGACAAAAAATAACGTTTATGCGTATATGAAAATAAACATTTGACAAATATGTCTATATGAGCATGTGAATGTGCTGTGTGTGTGTGTGTTTGCTTATGTATTAGTATGTGTGTGAGCGTGCGCGCGTACGTGTGTGCGTGCGCCCGCCCTCTGTGTGTGTGTGTGTGTGTGTGTGTGTGTGTGTGTGTGTGTGTGTGTGTGTGTGTGTGTGTGTGTGTGTGTGTGTGTGTGTGAGTGTGTGAGTGTGTGTATGTGAACGAACCGGCGTGTTTGAAGACACAATGAAAAAAAAATGTCATCGTCTAGGTAAGAAGATTTTTTCTTTCATTTAGTGCGTATTTTGAAAATAAGAAAAATTTGGAGTTTTAATGATAGCTTCCAATGAAACAAAAACACCAACTTCTAGAATTCTTAGTCGATTATTTTATCTTATTTCTAACGAATTATAGTCTGTATGATGTTAAAATCTAATTTTTAAAAAAAGATTCCCTCCCCATTATGTCTTTCTAACTCCCATCATCCACAACTCTCTTGTCTCTCTGTCTCTCTGTCTCTCTTCATTCCCCCCCTCTCTCTCTCTCTCTCCCTCTATCTCCTCTGTTTCTCTCCCTCTCTTCTCTCTCTCTCTCTCTCTCTCTCTCTCTCTCTCTCTCTCTCCCACTCTCTCTGTCTCTTTTTCTTGCTCAGTCCCTTCTCTCCTTACTCTTTCTTTTCTTCACTCTGTGTGTGTATGTGTGTGTGTAAGTGTGCGTGTGTGTGTGTGTATGTGTGTGTGTGTGTGTGTGTGTGTGTGTGTAAGTGAAAAGTGTGTGTGTGTGTGTG